TGGAGTGGCCACGGGGGCACCTTCTCGGGGTGGCCATGGGGGCACCTTCCAGCCCTTTCTGGGCACCTGCTGGGGGTGGCCAGGGGGGCACGCGGTGCCTCGCTTTGTTCAGCCCTGCCCTGTCACGACCCTCGTCACGACAGGGACAGCCCCTCCCGGAGGTTCTGGGCTCCTGCCCCTCTCCCGGGATCCGCATTCCATTGTCCCTGGGTTCTGGGTGCTCTGCTCCTCCCCGGGGCAGAGGTTGCCCGGCAATGCCCTCCTTCCCCCCCGAGTGCCAGCACATCTCCCACCTCCAGCAGCACCCCGTGACTGCCCCGGGCATCGCGGTGCCCTCCTCGCCCGGGCCGAGACCCCGGCACAGCCCCCCCGGCAGCGCCCGCCCACCGCTCCCGGTGAGGTGACCGCGGTCAGATGGAAAGGGATGTCTCGATGGAAAGGGATGTCTCAGATGGGAAGGGATGGAAAAGGATGTCTCCACGTCCTTCACGATGCCGGGAAGGGACAGCCAGACCCCGGGGGGGGGTCACGACGAGCTGTGTCCCTGCCCGGAGGCGCCTTTCCCAGCGCTCTGTCCCCGCCTGAACCGCGCGGGCAGTTTGGGACACGGCTCATGTGCCCTGTCCCCAAATCCCGCGGCTTGGACACGGTTGGATCCTTTTCCGGAGCATCCTCTCCCCTGCCCGAGCAGGAACCCGGGATTTTGCAGTGGGATATCCTTGGGGGGGGACAGAGATGGGAAACGGGGACAACCCCCTGAGCCGGTGCCCTCCTGAGCCGGTGCCCCCCTGAGCCGGTGCCCCCCTCGCCCCCAGGGCACAGGGACCGCCCTGCCGGTGCTTGGAGACGTGGCAGCGAGGTCGGGAGAGCAGAGTGAGCGTTTCCAGTTGGCACCAGCTCTGCCTGTGCCCTTCCCACCCCTCTCTGCAGTCGGCATCGCTCCTCGCCCGGCCCGGAGCTGTCCCTAAATGAGCTGTCCCTAAATGAGAGGGACATTCAGCCGGGATAAGGGATAAGGACGTTTAGAAAGGGGTTGTTCCCCCCCTCCTTCTCTTCTTCCAGCTCTCTGCAGTGGTTTTATCGACAGCAAATCCACACCGGGCTGGGCACAGGCGGGGATGGGGTTTCAGAGGCCCGCGTGGATGTTCTTGCGAGTCCTTGATTCCCAGCGCTCTTCCCACCCCTGGGAAGAGGCTCTCCCGCATCCCTGAGCCACCTCGGGTGGAGAACGTGTTTCCTGGGGGTCTCAGGGGTCCCAAAATGCCAGGATTTTTCCCTGCAGGCGCCGGGGAGGAAGAGAGAGCGGGGCCGGAGGAAACTTCCCCGGCTTTGGCCCCCGGCCAGAGGGAGAAAAGCAGCTGCATCCTCGGAGTCGAGCGGAGCGGGAGCGTTTCCGCGTTGTTTTTTGGGGGAAACCACGTGAGGGGTTGTGTGAATTCCTGCCGGGAGAGGCGGCGGAACCCGGCCGAGGGCTGCGGGATGGGCGAGGAGGTGACAATTAGCTGCGGGTGATAATTGGGAGCATCAAGACACTCGAAGGGGGTGACCGAGGGGTGGGTCGGGATCTTGGTGATGGATGCGGGGCGTGTGGTGGGTGAATTTTCCTGGACAAAATGGGTGCTCACAGCACAGGATTCAGCAGCCAGGGGCTCCCCTCGGATCCAATTAGCGCGACAAAAAAGTAATTAAGGGAAGGTGCTGCAGCGCCGAGGCTCCCGGCGGGGCTCGGGCAGACAGGCAGGCACCCGGGGGAGCCCTGGGAACACCTCGGGGAGCTCGGGCCAAGGGAAAACTCGAGCCCTGGGGCTCCTTTCTCACCTTCCCAGCAGCGTTTTGTCCTCGCTCCACCACACCCCGGTTACCGAAACCAGAAATCACCTCCCATCCCGCTTCCTGGAAGAGCATCCCCAGGGCAAGGATGGGGTTTGCAAGGATTGGGCCAGAGATGCTTTTCCCTGCTTTTTTGGGATCGTGCCCTGCTGTTGCTCCCTCCATGGATGCATCCCTGGCTCGCAAATCGCTTTTTTATCTGCACCCGCGGCTGTCCAGGAGGCGATTTAATTTAATTCAGGATGGTCCATTTAATTCAGGATGGTCCATCGAGCCCTGAGGGTGCTGGAGGGGCTGTGCCCTGTCCCGGGGCACCGGGGGGGTGACTGGCCCTGCCATCCGGGGCTGGATTTGCCTATTTAAGGTCGGATATTTAATCAAGAGGTCGCCGGGGTGGCACATGGCAAAGCTGGGTGTTCACCGCTCACCCCGTGCTGCGAACCCGGCCCGGCTCTCACCCTAAATATTGAGGTTTCACAGCCCCCTCTGCCACCCCGCCCGGGCTAAAAATTCCAAGGAAGAGGGGGGAAAAAATCCCGTCTCCGCCCCAGCAACGTGTGAAATATCTTCACAGCCCATCTCTGCTAATGGGTTGCAAATTGCTTCCATCAGCTCCGGCGTTCCGGATTGCTCGGCTGAAATCGCGTCCAGGAGCCACTTTTTGGGGCCAAATACTTCCTTAGCTCGGGGAAATAACCATCAGCGTCATTAGCAGCGGTAAATTGTGTTCAAATGAGGCGCCGCGGGGCCTTATTTGGACTTTTTACAAGCGCCTTTGTGTCGCTGGTGGGGCAGATCCAACATCGGGGGCTGTGGCATCCCCACGGAATCCTTTGGGTTGGAAAAGACCTCGGAGATCATCAAGTCCAACTGACACCGAGCTGGGGGGAGTGTGGATCGGCTGGAGGGCAGGAGGGATCTGCAGAGGGACCTGGATGGGTTGGATCCATGGGGATGATCCCAAGGGGATGAGGTTCAAGCAGGCCAAGGGCCGGGTCCTGCACTTTGGCCACGACAAACCCCCCAAACGGCTGGGGACAGAGGGGCTGGAGAGCAGCCAGGCAGGAAGGGAGCTGGGATTTGGGATGGACAGGGAGCTGAACAGGAGCCAGAGTGTGCCCAGGGGGACAAGAGGCCGATGGATCCTGGCCTGGCTCAGGAACAGTGTGGCCAACAGGGTCAGGGAAGGGATTTTTCCCCTGGACTGGTGAGGCCACCCCTGGAGTGCTGTGTCCAGCTCTGGGCCCTCAGCTCAGGAAGGACATTGAGGGGCTGGAGCAGGTCCAGAGGGGAGCAACGAGGCTGGGGAAGGGACTGGAGCACAAGTGCTGTGAGGAGAGGCTGAGGGAGCTGGGGGGGCTCAGCCTGGAGAAGAGGAGGCTCAGGGGAGACCTCCTCACTCTCTGCAACTCCCTGACAGGAGGGGGGACCCAGGGGGGGTTGGTCTCTTTTCCCAAGACAAGAGGGCTCGGGGTCTTCAGCTGTGCCAGGGGAGGTTTAGGTTGGATATCAGGAAGAATTTCTTTCCAGAGAGGGTGATCAGCCATTGGAATGGGCTGCCCAGGGAGGGGGTGGATTCTCCATCCCTGGAGGTGTTTAAGGACAGACTGGATGTGGCATCAGTGCCATGGGCTGGGAACCACGGCGGGGTTGGATCAAGGGTTGCACTGGATGATCTGGGAGGTCCCTTCCAACCCAGCTGATTCTGGGATTCTATGATTCTGTGATTCTATGATTCTATGATTCTGTGATTCTGTGATTCTGTGATTTTAGGATTCTGTGATTCTATGATTCTGTGATTCTCTGATTCTCTGATTCTCTGATTCCTGGTTAATTATCTGCTGGAACTCAAAGCTCAGCATCTTGTTGAGACCAACAAGGCCCTCAGCAGAGCTCTGCTTGCTGGGCTGGCTCGGGCTGTCCTGGAGAGCTTTACCATCCCGGGCGGGTGAGAGAAGGCAAAAACGAGCTTTGCATCCCTTACTCGCCTTTCAAATCCCATCTGACCGCTGCTGACACCTTCCCAAGGGGAAAACCAGAGTGTGTAAACCCCCAGGACCCGGCACAGGCAGCTCGGGGGGTTTCTAAACCCGGCACAACTCCATCCAAGGGTCACATCCAGCTCGGCTGGAGAGTCGGGCCGCAGCACCCGGAGCTGCTGAGGGCGGGATTCACCCCGGGGGGTTTATCCCGAGGGCAAACACAGCATCCTGAGCCCGGCAGTGGCTGCCCGGGTCCCTCTCTCCCCCCTCTCCCCGTCTCCGCCTGATCGATGCCGCGTTTGTGCCGATTGATGCCCCGATTGATGCCCCGATTGATGCCCCGATTGATGCCGGGTTGTGCCGCTCTCGGCTCTCCCGGCGCAGCCCATTAAACACTGAGTCATCCTCGGCAGCGTTTAATTTCGTGAGGGGCAGCAGTTTGGATAATTGAAGGGCCTCCTCCTCCTCCTCCTCCCGTGGCCAAAGCCCCGGCGGCGCTGACGGGGAGAGGGCGAGGA